GTATTTTGCATTTGAGTAAATACTTTTACCACATCATTTTGTTAGGATCATGGCATTTTCTAATATAAAGTGTTAATACGTAAATTAGATTGATAGATTCATGTTTTCTAGAAAACACTATAATTTTTCATAAGGCATTTTGTTCTATTTAAATACTATTTGTTAAAATTAAACAACTTTCCAGGAGCCTGGACAATGCTCCAAGACTTCTGGGTGTCTTATCACTAGATGTACCCCTGCAAACCAACCTTTTTAATCCCTCAGGAATGCCTCTTCTTGTTTCCCAAGGAGCTTGCTCACTTTGAATAACAGGTGGTAGATGTTTAGCCTAAAAGTTTCCTTTTCCTTAGACCTGTATCTCTAGGATTTTGTGTATTCCATGGGACTTGTTCTTTTGCAATACTGTATAGTCTTCAAAAAACCAAACGTACGTTCTTTCTTTTAGCACAAGATAGTAAATGGCAAATAAGCAAAAAAACCATTTTGCGATTATTTGCAGCAATTTCTCTAGAATCAACTGCCCGTTTGCAAATGTCTCTCACTCTTAATAGCTGATCTCTTTAATTGTCAAATGCTTATTGTTTTTAACATACTAGATTGAATTTGCCAACCCTTTATTTGGAATTGTTTGTTATGATCATAAGTGATACTTGACATTTTTTCCCCCCATTGCCCTTGCCTAATTTTAGTCTCAGGGTTATGTTGGCTTTTCAATTCTCTGATGCAGTTTGTAAAACATGAGGATGACTTGTGTTTTAAAGACTCAGAAACTTGCCAATAAAATCTTATGAGCCTGATGTATTTGGGGTGGGAATTGGGCTAGACGACGATGATGATAATAATGAGTATTATGGATTGAATTGTGCTGCCCTAAAATATAGGTTGAAGTTCTAATTCCAGTACCTGTGAATGTGACCCTCTTTGGAAATAAGGTCTTTGAAGAAGTTATCACTTCGGTTAGCAGAGGTCATATTGAGGTAGGGTGTCCTAACCCTATATGACTGATGTCCTTATAAAAAAGGAGAAAATACAAAGAGAGAGACAGAGAAGCATCTACAAGCCAAGGAACACTAAGGATTGACAGGAGCCACCAAAACTTAAGAGAAAGACATAGAACAGTTTCCCCCTCAGAGCCCTCAGAAAGAATCAACCTGGCCCATGCCCTGATCGATGGATTATTCAAGTTAGTGTAGTGAGGTTGTGATATGCTTGGGCTATGCTTAGGGTGAGAGGAAGAAACTCCACCTGAAATGAGCTTGGATGGACTTTAGTCAGATGAAGAACCTAGGACTGTTTGTCCTGTATGTAGGTTAGTTCACTGTGAAAATATCCCATGAATTTTACCTAAAGTTGCCTGCTGAGAGCAGCACGATTCTTCCAGATATTGCACCAGCAATCAGGTTTATAGCATTAGATCAGCTATATCCTCTCCAGGTAGAAGCCGCAAATCACAATTTTAGCATATTTCACATTGAGCAAAGGGCATGTATATAAGTGAGTATTTGGGGCAGGGGATATTGGGTAAAGGAATTTATACATACATTTTATTTATACATACAAATAAATAGTTAGGAGAATTTACTAATTAGGTAGTAGATAAGAATCATCTTGGGTGAAGGGAAGAACAACACACAATACAGGGGAAGTCAGCACAACTGGACGAAACCAAAAGCTAAGAAGTTTCCTGAACACAACCAAACCCTTTGAGGGACAGAGTAGCTGGGGCTGGGGTCTGGAGACCATGGTTTCCGGGGACATCTAGGTCAACTGGCATAACAAACTTTATTAAGGAAATGTCCTGCATCCCACTTTGATGAATGGCGTCTGGGGTCTTAAAAGCTTACGAGCTGCCATCTAAGATACATCAATTGATCCCAACCCAACTGGAGCAAAGGAGAATGAAGAATACCAGAGATACAAGGAAAATGTTAGCCCAAGAGACAAAAGGGCCACATAAACCAGAGACTCCATCAGCCCGAGACTAGAACTAGATGGTGCTCAGCTACCTGCAATGACAGCCTTGACAGGAAACACAACTGAGAGTCCTTGATGGGGCAGGAGAAAAGTGTGGAACAGAACTCCAATTCACATAAAAAGACCAGACTTAATCGTCTGACTGAGACTGGAGGAATCCCTGAAGCCATGGCCCCCAAACGCTATGTTAACCCAGAACTAAAACCATTCCCAAAGCCTACTCTTCAAAGATGAGACTGGGCTATAAAATATAAAATAATACTCATAAAGAGTGTGCTTCTTAGTTCAAGCAGATATACGAGTCCGGAGACAGGATCAGAAGGCAGGAAGGGACAGGAACTGGTTGGATGGACACAAGAAACCCGGGGGTGGAAAGGGGGAGTGTGCTGTCATGTTGTAGGGTAGGAAAAAAGAAAAACAAGAAACCTCCCAGAAGGAGATGCCTCAGTGCTTAGTTACAGTGCCACATCTTTCCATAGCCTAAATCAACTAATACTATGCAAATATGATGTGCTGTCCTAAAAACCGTGGGACTTGAGTGTTCTCAAAAAGTCTTTACTGTGGAAGGAAATAGGACATCTAAGCTGAATTATAAAAAGCAAAAGAATTCTGGAAGGATCCTCAGTTTTCTGGGAAACATGCCAGGGACATGGCTTAGAAGAATGGGTCAGGGTTTTTGAGCATAAAGCCAGCAGCTCCACCCTGACTACTCTCAGTTGGCTCTGAAGTTCTGACTTTTATTCCCCATACACATTCTTTTTTAAATTGTGATATATATATAAAATATATATATATAGCATATATATATAGAGAGAGAGAGACGGAGAGAGAAAGAGAGAGAAATTTATCTCAAAGAAATGGCTCATGCAGTTGGAGAGGCTGGCAAATCCCAAGTCAGGCTGGAGGCTGCTCCTGACTCATGTAGCTGCAGGGGCTGATGAACCCAAGATCGGCAAATAAGACGGCAGGCAGCTGGCTCAAGTCCCAAGACCCAGAGGTCAGATGATGATGAGCTGGAAGCAGGATCCAGAGCAAGCAAGCAAGCTTTGCCAGAACATCCAAATATATATATGATGCAGGCCACATCCCCTTACAACTGATTGGCTGATCATATCAGATCACATCATGGAGGACGAATACAACATTACATAACTGCCAAACTACATCATTACATAAGTGCAAACCACTGAAAATCATGGACCAGCCAAGCTGACACACAACTTTAACTATCACACCTAAGAAAAGACTTCCCCTTCCTCCCATCTTGTAACGACTAATAAACTTGGGTCTCTATACATTTTCCTATTCTACACATTTCATATATGTGGGATCCTACAATATTTGTCTTTTTGTGACTGACTTATTTCACCCAGCATAATATTTTCAGTGTTCATCCATGCTGTAGGGTGTATCAAAATTTCATTTCTCTTTATGGCAGAGTAATATTCTATTGTATGTACGTACCATATTTTATTTATGCATTCATCCATTGGTGCACATTTAGGTTGTTACTACATTTTGGCTATTGTAAATAGTGTTGCAATAAACATTAGTGTACAAATATCTGTTTGCATGCCTGCTTCCAATTCTTTTGGGTTTATACCTAGGACTGGAATTGCTGGATCATATGGTAAGTCCTGCCTATTGAGGCAGGTGGCCTCTGCCCTCTATGTCTATGTTGACCATGAGATAGAACCCACATGGTTACTTTGAACTCCTCCTTTGTGACAAGGAGTGGATGTGTCCCCATCTGAAGCCCTTATCCCATTCATGGGGCAGGATCATCCTCAGGGTGGTGCTATTTCCTAGAGACAAAGCTGGAGTAAGTTGTCCAGAAGCCAGTTTCGGCTAGTGCCGTATTAGCCAAGGCGCCCTCAGACAGCATTGCCAGAGGAAGAACCTACAAATGGCTGCCGAATGAGCTCAAAAGGCAAGTCTGTGTAGAAAGCAGATCAAGTAAAGAGCTCAGAAAGCCCACTGAATGAGAGGAGGAGGAGAAGACAATTCTGAGAATAATATAGCATTAGGTTCAGGACAAATAGTGAGAGGGTGCTGCGGGTCCCCATAGATTATTCCTAGAGCAGAGGATGCAGTGCGGACACCTTTAAGGCATTGTGCAGGGCTGTAAGGGGGGCTAGCTGGCCAGCTGGGTGACCTCACTGTGGAATCAGCCATTGTCCGAAGAAGCATGGTGACCTGAATCTGACTCCAACCCCTTAGATTTTCCATTGTGAATTAGTATTGCCTGCTTTATTTCCCCCGAGTTTGTCTACGTTCTGTAGTTTATAAAAAGACCAACAACCACAAGAACTCCTTATCATTCATGTGGTAGGTAGTTTCAGATTGCAAAGACTATTTTTTTTTCTCACACTGTTGTTAAATTCAGAAGAAAATGCTGACTATTCGCCATAAGATCCTGAAAAATCTGTATACCGTGAACATTGTGGATTTGAAATAATATTGTGATAAAGAAAAGCTACATATTTCACTTTCTGATTCTACACATGGTATCCAAAGTGTAAAAGATCCTGGAAAATGTCTTACATTTTTAAAATTCTTGTAGCCTGAGAATGAGAGACAAGGGTTTTTTTCTGTAAATACTCTTGTTAATATAATCTCAAATTCAGAAAATTTCCACGCATCCAAAGTGCTTGAAAAGTATTGTGCAATAAAAGTGAATAACTTCAGAAAGAACTCAGACTTAGAAATCAGTTCTCAAGAAACTTAGTTTTTCACAATTTGTTAGCGAATTTCAGCTTATTCCCACCTGAGTTTCTGGTTTAAAACCATATAATAGTTGCATAAGTTTTTAAACCTTTTATTTTAACTCAGCTGATTTATCTACATAGCACACAACACCAGATATTCACAAGCATCAAATAATACATTAATTTCAAAACAATTTCCCCACAGATGGTTGGCATTGAGTTTGCAAATTATGATTTATAGCTGTGTGGTAGAGAGAAAAAAAGAAAAACTCAAAAACAAAAAATGCAAACGAACAGAAAAAATAACAATAAACTTACTTTTGAGTAATTTGAAGCAAGAACTCTAGAAGCACTGTTTATCCAGGATCTCCTTATTTACAGGAAAACAATTTAGTTGTTTTTGTGGACTCTGCTCCATCTCTAGATTTTGCTTTAACTGTTTGCCTTCTGTGAAGTGTCCCTGTTGAGACTGCTTTCAGAGCGAGGTTATGATCTCAATTTTGTTGGCTGCCAGATACGCAATCCCTCTTGGACTGTTTGTCTTTTCACTGACATCCAGCCAGTTCCTGTTGAGCGGTGGCAGTTGTACTTGGTTGCATGATGTTATTGCATGAGAACTAACAATCTTATAAAGGCAATTCAGTATTCACAAACTTTTGTCTTTTATATCCAAAATGAATGTGGTCAGTATTGAAATTTTAATACGATCTCTAAATCATCAGAAAGTACAGAGCTCAGTCAGAGAAAAGCTCTTCTCTCTACCCAGAGCTCTAGACAGTCAGGTTGACATATTGTTAGACTCAAGGTCTACCATTTTGTTGTTTGTTGCTTCTGACTTTCATTCCTCTGGTTCCCGTTCCCTTCCTTCTTTTGGATTATTTTAACATTTTTTAGTACTCTATTTTAATTTGCCTATTGTCTTTGATTATACTCATTTGTATAGCTATTTTAGTGATGGCTTTAGGGATTACAAAAGACACTTAACGTATCACCGTCTGCATAGAATCAATACTTTACCACTTCAAGTAGAACGCAGAAACCTTACTATTATTTATGAGCAAAGGAGGCAGGCAGCCAACAAGGCTGCTGCTTAATAGCTATAAGCAGAAGGAGGCAGGGATGGAGGAGCAAGAGTCACTCCAATAAAGTCATGATCCCTTGCTTAGTTCCTGGCCATGAGTTAACTTGCAGATCCAGAATCTATTGACTGAAGTTGCCAGGTTCCTAGCAATACCTTGACAAGTATATACTGTGATTGTCCCACCAATCCTTCCTGGCTTCCTCAAAGGGACCTTCAGTCGTTTACTTGGGTTACTGTATACTGGAGAAGGGGAAATCCCTAGACATTTGAAGGGCTCTTGGGCATAGGGTATGAGTGGACATTGTCACCTGGAAACTCCCAATGTGACTGTGTCTCCCTTACCCCCATTAGAGTGGGCTTTAGGGGCAAGGTAATAAATGAGTTCTGATTAAAGTCCAACTGTACGTGGGCCTACTGGGTCTATGGGCACACCCAGTGGTCATTTCTCTATCCTCAAGCGCATTATTAGAATTGATATACTTTAAACTTGGAATATTGGGTCCTTGGCCTGTTGGGTAATAGCTATCACAGTGGGGAGAGACAAATGGACACCTCTGACACTTCCCCCATTCCCTGCCAAGACAGTCCATAATGAACAATATTGCATCCTGGGAAAGGAGATGGCAAAGACTAATGCTGCCATTAATGGCACAAAGGATGCAGAGGTGGTGGTGCCTATCACACCTCCATTTAATTTGCCAATCTGGTCCCTGCAGAAACCAGAGGGATTCTGGAGAAGGACTGTAGACTACTGCAGCTGAAACAAGTAATGGTCCCAATCATGGCTGCTGTGTCAGACTTGGTAACTGTTCCCGAGCAGATGCATGACATTCACCCAGTGATTAGGCAAATGCATTCATTTCCATCTTGATTAGAAAACAGCATTGAAAACAGCTCACACACAGGAAATCAGGGGCAGAAAGGAGGCGAGTGCTGGCACAGTATAGGGAGAGCAATTAGGGTCGCATAACAATGTATGTATAATTTTTTGTATGAGAGACTAACTTCAATTGTAAACTTCCACTTAAACTACAATAAAAAAAAATCGCCACAGCCACCCCAGCCTTCATCAACCACCACCCCAATCTGTCAGCAGCCATCAACATCGAGGCGAGACCCTCCACTAACAAAAAGATCACAACTCACTAAAAGCTCAGATGATGTTAGCATTTTTTAGCAATAAAGTATTTTTTAATGAAAAAAAAAAAAAGCTCACATTCAGGTGAGTCAGACAACAATATTTATTTACTATTTTGCCCCAGCGGTATGTTAAGTCTCGTGCCTTTGTCATAATATAGTCTCAGGAGATCTGGACCTCTGGGATATCACACAGAATATCATACTGATGACTTCATGCTGATCAGATAGGATGAGCAAGAGATGCTAGAACACTGGAGCCCTAGTAAGGCACACATGTTCCAGAGAGTAGGAGGTAAATCCTACAGACACCCAGAGACCCGTCACTTCAGTGAAGGTTTTATGGGTCCAGTGGACAGAGTGTTTTTCAGATCTCCTCCGAAGTAAAAACAAATTGCTGCATCTTAAACCCCCGACCACAAAGAGGAACGATCAGCATTTGGTATGTCTCTTTGGGTGCTGGAGGCAATGCATTCCCATCTTGTAATACTGCTCCAACCCATATACTGACTGCCAGGGAAAGATACCATCACTGAATGGGGCCTGAGTAGGAAAGAGCTTTACAGCAGGTCCAGACTGAGGCACAAGCAGTCCTGCCCTTTCAGCCATGCAATTTGCAGACCCCGTGTTATTGGAAGTGTCAGTGGTGGGAAGATTCTATTAAAATGAGGGCAGTTAAAGTGTCTGGGATCCTTGCCCTTGAGCTATATAGATCAGAGACTCATCAGGCTGTGATCTATTTACCAAAGAAGATTTTAGGTTTTATTAGACAGGCACTTTGTTTGATCAGTTTCACACATTGTGCAGTGTGACTCATGGTTTTCTGCTTCTATAGAAAATTTGTGCAAACAGGTTTGCAGTTTACAAAAGCTTCCACCTACAGTTTCTTATTAGAGTCCCATACGAATCACTGGGTAAGTATTGGTAAGCCCTGTCGGGTTATGGGATTTACTCTCAGTCACATAGCTAGAAAGACGACAGTCTAGTCTTAGCTTACCTGGGGCTCCAAATCCCAACATCTTTTCCACATAACATAAAATGTAAGCTAGATGTTTAACATTCTGCCTTAGCAAACAGAGAGTAGAGGATTATACTCCAAGCAGACCACTTGTTTGTGTGTGTGTGTGTGTGCGTGCGCGTGTGTGTGTCTGTGTTTTGTTTTATTTTAATTTTAATCATAAACCTGAAATGGGTCTCAAGAAATAACTGGAATTGTATTCAATTTTTATATTTGGCAGATAATAAAACATCCAACATTGGCCTCAAAGAGAGTTACGATGCTCTTAAAGTCCGGTAACTATACATTTACCAATCTCTTCTCCTTCTGTCGTGAATAATCATTTCAGCATTTCTGAGTAAAATTATAACAGGTGTTCCAAAAATATTTATTACAATATGTCTGAGATGATACATAATATTGAAGCTACAAAAAATAACAATGCCCTTACAAAACCACAGGCTTAAACAGAAACAGGTTATTTGGGCTATAGGTTCTTGCCACATGAGCTTCTGCTTCACTGAGGTGTCATGTTCCCCACCCCAAATCATCCAGTTCCTGCTCCTTGGAGAGTTCCAGGAAAACTTAAAAAGAAGGAAGGAAATAAAGCGAGATGACTGGCATGTGGTCTCCTGTAGCTCCAAATGAGAGGGAAGAAGATGTTTTATTAAGCCATTACAGTCACACAGCTGAAATAATTTACCTTAAAAAATGACCCACTTGCTCCATCTAGGGTGGCCTGAGAGAAGCTGTACTCCTCCATGTCAGTAGAATGAACTTACATTAAGGGTTCATATATTTTTTTATATCTAGTTGGTCTGAAAAATCAGCATAGAGTACAAGTAATGAATACAATACAAATGAACAGAAATAATAAATACAGTAGCATCTTAAATGAACAGGATAAGGTAATAAACATTCGTGGACTGAACTTATTATTTTTAACATTTCATTTATTTTGAGTGGCAATATACAAAACCAAATATACAATGGACTGAGTTTATTAAAGAGTTAAAATAACCCATACATTTGCTTACGTTTGTGGGGAAAAAAGCACTCTCAAATTGCCCAGTTAATGATGTGTGAACTTCAAGAGAAGGAAACAATGCTGGAAGGCTTCATTCTCTGCACTTGAGCCAGTGTTTCTGCACATTGAGTAGAGTAACAGGAAACTGAGGGAGAAAGAGATATTTTGAAAAGGGGAAGCATCAGAAGATCACAGAGAGACAGCTGTGGTTTTCTAGGGAGCAGATGCCAGTGTGGCCTTCTTTCTAGAAACCATTGAAGCTTCTCCTCATTGGACTGAAAACTGGGAAGGACTGAAACTATGTCAGCGATAGTTTGAGGCCAGTACTGGCCGCAGAGCTAATCCATGGAGGGCAGAAAATGGCCAGGAAATCTGAGGTGCTCAGCTCAACCACAGAATGAAAAAGACGCATCACTGTGACCACAGGTGCTATCAGCAGGAATCAAGAGAACCCAAATCTCTTCCTCAGGCAGGTGAAAAGCAAGCAAACAGAGGACAGCAGTAAAGACAAAAACAGCATAGAAAGGGATTCAGATTGGCAGAGTTCATGGGCTAGATTATCAAAAACAACAAAAACTGTGTTTGGAAGGACTAACACAGGATGCTTAGTTCTTAAAGTGAAACACACCAATGTAGAGTACGTTATTCATGATTAGATGGGGGCACGGTTTCTTAATCTATGGCATAAACCAATAAACTAATATGAAGATGCAAGGAGACATATCTTAAACTGAATGTGTCTCATGTATGTGTCTCTATGCTCTAAAAGAATATAAGCCCCTCTGATGACTACATAACTGAGTATATGACTGAGTTTTGTTTTATCTTATAACAGCAAGTATGAAAAACAAAACAAAATGCAAATAAGAGACGAAACCACTTCCCCCAGCCCCAGCAATATACACATACACACAAAATACCTTACCACCTTGGTTTCATGCTCTTGAATTTCAATTTGAGGTTTTAACTGTCACATTTATTACATGATCTTCCTCAATGTATAATATACAGGGGTTATTTTAAGGTTTAGAATTATCAGTTTCCCAAAGTTTCATTTTAAAATTGTATTTCTTACCTGTCTTTAATTTGAAGACAGGTAAATGTTGCATATTCTCTACTGGCAACCTGTAGACCATCAGGGAAGAACACCTGAGAGATTAGAGTGAGGCAGGTCTCTGGGCTTTCAGGTTATACCTGCGCTGATGCAAATGTACAGAGAACACCTTTATGGTCTGTATTTTGTAAATAAGAATCTCTTTGGTGTAGTCAAAAAGCCTAGAGGGAATTCATA